ACTGCTAAAGCAAGATACTTTGAAGGTAAGGTGCATAAAAACAATTTTTGGGGAGCTTCTGTCTTTGTATTATGCTGTACAGCCTTGTGGAATAATTTTAACTAGAATGTGCATTAGCTAGTCATGATAGAATACTTCAGTTCAATAGAAAGCAATTTCTTGGCCTTGCTGGTGACTAAAGAAGAAGGGCTGTATATTTTATAATCTGTGAATTAGTAGTATTTGCATAATTATGCTCATACACAGATAAATGCAAGATGGTGCTCCCTTCTGTTTCTCTTAAAAGTTGTTGGCATGGTAAGTGTGAAGCTACCTTGTTGAATTCAACATCCTCTTTAAAGTGTCCTGCTTCAGCTCTAGAAAGTGTAATTTCAACGTACAAATCAACTTACCATTTACATTCAATGAGAGGAAAAGGGCAGCTCCCCCCACAACATATGCTTGGAATATCAGGCTGCTTTGGGACTGGTCCGACTACCATTTGTTTGGAGAGCTGTCTCAGCACTGAGGAGTGACTATTCATTGGATAGTGTATGCCTGAGTATTTAGTTCACAGAGTTTAGCTGATGCTGTCTAGGGAACATTCCAAGAACTCAAATGTTAATTTCAACTTCTGCCTGCTTTTCAAGATCTGTATCTGCTTTCACATTTTGACTAGAGGGGAAGGTTTGCCTTGTTCAGAGACCATCTAACAAAATTAAATTGGTTTTGAAAACATTATTGAAAAGCATACTGAGTGAATCTGAAAACCTATCATTGTGGTACCTATCATTCAGTGAATCTTCTAACAACAGAACCCTTGCATAATGTGCCCAAGATTAAGACCTACTTTGTGCAATAGTGTCTACTCCTGGAATCATATATCTATGATTGCAATCTAAGTCACATTGATTCCAGTCACCTCTTCTGTTGCCTTTGTGCATTGAATTTTGTGTTCTTCTACCATTTCACATTTTGTACTTTTCATTGTGCTCCAAAAGAACAGAGTTGTTGGGTTTTTTTAAAAGACACATTGTTTGGAAGAACTTGTAGTAACAAAGTAACTAGAAAAATATAGTTAGAAGCAATTATTGTGCAAAGAAAAAAGCATTGTCTTACAAACAACTTCAGTATTATGGAAATTGTGCTAAATATAAGCAGATAAGAAAAGAGATCATTGAAAGGGTTGAGATTGAAACAAGTTCTCCCAAATACATCTGACTTTAATGCAGAACATTTGTAGTGTTGGATAGTACATAAATTGCATTTTCCAGAAAGAAGATTAAAGTACAAAGCACTGAACTGAGACAGTTTCACTTAAAATTAGGGATTCAGTATGGATCTCATATTTTTATCAGTAAGAATATTGTGTTTGACTATTAGGAAGAAATTCCTACTGACTAGTGGAAGCTGCTTCCTTGTGTAAGTGCAATTGCAGCCTTTAATGTCCTTTCTGTTCTATGAGACATCACAGCCCTGACCTTTCTGTAAGTTTATCTAAATAGCTTCAACAAACTTTAAGACATTTGAGAAATACAAGCATTCATGAATGATAAACAAGAAGATAACATTCAATATTGTCTGCCCTGTACAAGCAATCAGATTTTGAATGTGTTTTTAACTGGTGTCTTTCACGTTTGTGTGCATGTAGAAAAACATGCTTGAACTTTCATCTCAGCATATTGTAGACAATATTAGGTGAAGAAGGAATCTGTTCTTGATCTGTGTGGTGAGAATATTATAATAACTTCAAGAAAACATTGCAGAAAGCAGCTGCTACAGTTAGCAACAAATTCAAAGAATATACACATTTAATTTGCATATAATTTATGATTATTACAATGGATCAGCTTTTTGTTACTCTGTTGATCTTCTGTAACACACCTCTGTAGTGCTGAGATCTTCGTTCAACTTTGGAAGAGCTATGAAAAAACTTGAACTGCTTCCTCTTGAATTGGATAGAGCAGTGACTCTCAATATTTCTTGTATATTCCATTTATTGCCTGAATTCCGTTAAAGATCTTCCAGTGTGAATCTTCCAATGTAAACACAGACTTCCAGTGAAGTCTGTGTATGGTTTCAGTGGTCCCCAAAACTTTGGTCTATACTTTCTGCATGTTGGTTTACTTGATTACATTGTTTAGGAAATTTAAAAATTCCAAATAAATAAAATTAATATCAATCTTATGACTCCCATGTGTCTCTTTGACATCCTAATATCGCAGACTCTTAGTAGTATGTTAAAGAATATGCATATGGTGCTTGGTTTGTTTCTATTATGGGCTACAATTTAGCTCACAGTATTACACAAGAGAGAGAACAGGCAAACAACAGCTTAACTAGTGACGTATAACCTTTAAATGAGCTGGAAGAATAAACATTTTTCATGCATTTTGGTTTGGTTCCACAGAGTTTTATCTTGAAACAATGTTAAATAACAGTGGGTTATGACTTTCAAGAGGATATCTAATTTAAGCATATACCTGAACTCAGTTCAATCAGATAGTTGATAAAGGTTGACAATATGTAATGATAAATGGTGACATGATAAACGGAGAAATCTGCTGGATCAAAAACTCTTGTGTGAACAAATGCACAATTGGATTCAACCCGAAGTCACTGGCTAGGTTTTAAAGGCTAATGGCAAATGCTAGTATAATCATATCAGGACATTAATTAGGATTAAAAAGGATCAGCCTTCAGAACCATGTCTTGCAGGAACAATGCCAAACCAGGGTAAAAATGTGTTTGTGTTGTAGACCTGGGCTGGGTCTTTAACCCTACTAAGTAAGCATTGCTTCTTCAGAACTCCTTGCTTTAAGGTTCTTCCAAGTAATTCTTATTTAAATATTTGGAAGGTGCATGCCACTGTTATATTAAGAATTCAGTGTGTCACACTGAACAGGACAGGGGGAGTGTGTCCCTGTTGATTCTTCTGGACCTCTCGGTGGCTTTCGATACCATCGACCATGGTATCCTTCTGGATAGGCTAGCGGGATTGGGGGTTGGAGGCACTGCTTTGCAATGGTTCCGCTCCTATCTCAACGGTCGATTCCAGAAGGTAGTGCTGGGGGACTATGTCTCTGCACCATGGCAGCTATGCCATGGAGTACCACAGGGCTCCATTCTATCCCCTCTGCTATTTAACATCTATATGAAACCGCTGGGAGAGGTCATCAGGAGGTGTGGGCTGCGGAATCATCAATACGCTGATGATACCCAGCTCTACCTCTCATTTTCTACTAATCCAGGTGAGGCAGTGGCTGTGCTGAACCGGTGCTTGGCCGAGGTAAGGGAATGGATGAGGGCCAATAAACTGAAACTCAACCCAGACAAGACGGAGGTCCTGTTGGTTGGCGGATCGGGCTTCGGAGAGGGTGGATTTGACCTGGTCCTGAATGGTGCAACACTCCCTCTTAGGGACAAGGTCCGCAGCTTAGGAGTACTCCTCGACCCGGAGCTTTCTTTGGAAGCTCAGGTGACAGCAGTGGTGAGGAGCGCCTTCCTTCAGCTTCGGCTGATTAATCAGCTGCGCCCCTACCTGGAGTACGACTGCCTGGCGACGGTGACACACGCACTGGTGACTTCCCGCCTAGACTTCTGTAACGCGCTTTACATGGGGCTTCCCCTGAAGACGGTCCGAACACTTCAGTTGGTGCAAAACAGAGCTGCCAGGTTGCTGATGGGGACAGGGCGTTATGCTCACATGACTCCAGTCCTCCGTCAGCTTCACTGGCTTCCCATTGAAGCCCGGGCCCAATTCAAGGTGTTGGTTATGACCTATAAAGCCCTAAATGGCTTGGGTCCTGGCTACCTGAACGAGCGCTTACATACGTATATGCCCGACCGCCCCTTGAGATCTGCGGGAGAGTCCCTTCTCCGGGAACCCTCCATGAAAGAAATTAGGAGAGTAAGTACTCGGAGGAGGGCTTTCTCTGTGGTGGCACCCAACCTATGGAATTCACTCCCCAAAGAGGTCCGCCTGGCACCGTTGTTACTGGTTTTTTGGCGCCAGGTAAAGACCTTTTTATTTAAACATCATTTTAATTGTTAAAATATATGATCTGGCCAGGACAACTTCTTCTTCCTTCTCTTTTCTCCTATATTCTTTATTTACTTATTTTATACTGTTAATTTTAATTTTATATTATTGTATCTCAGTGTATTTTTGTATTTAAGTGGTAATTTATTATGTTCTATTGTATTTGAATGTATCTTATTGTATTGTAAGCCGCTCCGAGGCTTTGGCAAGGGGCGGCATAGAAATGTTATAATAATAATAAAAAAATAATAATTTTGTTTATATCAGACATTAACTAGTTTTTTTCCAGACCACTTAAAAAAAGTTCCAGGTGCTCTGCAAACGTTGACTTTTAAAATATTTCTGATATTGTCATACTAATTAAATGTATGTTACATTCAAATGCAAATGTCTCTGCATTTAAATTATGAAAAAAGTTATTTCTAATTGATTTGCCCAGAAAATTGCAGTGCACAATACTCTTTAAGATACTTTGATCTTTAAATGCAGGATTGATTTTTGCTAGTTCATGTGTTTCTAGTGCGTCATATTCATAATAAAATGAGGTGAGATGGAGGTCATAACTTTGCATTATATACAAACCTGAGCATTTTAAAGCTCTGGGGTTCACGCTCAAGTATATTAAACTATTTTATGGACTGATAAAGGAAAAGGAGTGTCATATCAAATACCCTATTTGCCTTAATTGAGGTTTAAAGTCATCTGGGAAGATTACTTTGAAATCTCAATCTCTGTCTCTGTCTCTCTCTCAAAAGTAAGAGGACAGTGCCTTTGGACTGTTCCAAAGGGAGAAATATTTAACCATGTATTGTATGTGTCAACTCTATCTTTTCTGCAGACCTGTTATTGAAGTTGGCATACTATTGAATGATGGAATCCTAGGCTTCATAGTTAGAATTCCAAAGAATTTTTGAGTAGAAGAGAATCTACAAATATTGCTGCTACAAAAAATTGAAATGATTTTTTTTCCTCCTCCCAGAGCAAATTCGCTTAAAGAATTTGAGAAAAGTATATGGAAGATGCCTGTGGTATCGATTACGGTTGTTAAAACCCCAACAGAATATAATTCCCACTATAAAGTAAGTATACTGTAACAGCTATCTTAAATTTTCTGTAAAAAGAACCATAAATTTTATTCTCGGGTTATGATAACAAATAATAGTTTGTTTATAGGACCGTGCCTTGAAGGACTCTGGGTGGGGTCATAACTGTAAAGCTAAAGGGGATGATCTCTAGCTCTACAGAACAAAATGAGTTTATTGATTATCCAGGGTGAAGGGTTTGGGGTCTACAACTTTATTTGTGTTCTTGATTGTTGAAAATATTGGTTGAGGCCCACTAAGCTTGCGCCTCATGAACTCAGAGAATGTAAAAGAAAACTGTCTTCTCTGCTTCATGGGATTCTGCAGACAACACAAGCCTTCTTGTGATTCAGTTTATGTCTAGAGGATTTCCTTTACGATAGTTTGAAAACTGTTTGTTTAAATCAATTATATTAAATCAATTATATAATTTACCATTATTACAAGAAGTAATGATAAATCTTTGCTGATTTCATGTGCTATGGCAATATACTTGCATTTGTCTTCTGCCTCAATGCACTGTACATATCCCCTTCCTTACTTGCTGAGTTGTTTAATTTTTTTAAATAGATTGTTACAAAGGAGTATAACGTGCCTTGTGTTAGTTCCTATGTAATTCAAGAAATGAGGATAAATATTCTAAAACTGAGGATATATCCTCTAAATTCTGGGAATCAACTTATTCAATGAGCAGTGATGATTTTGTGTGATATCCTTTAATTTTGAGAGGGCTTTTTTTTAGAGATGCTTTTAGGCTTGCTGCTGGTTATGTTAGATATCTTTCAAATGTAAATATGTATTTTTTTAGAATGATAAGCAGTTAAACACACTTGCTTTTTTAATATTTCAATTACAACAGGAAAGCAGTTCTGCTTGCTGGATGGGCACTGTTTTTGTTCCTTGCTTACAAAGTTTCCAAAACAGACAGGGAATATCAAGAATACAATCCATATGAAGTGTTGAATTTAGATCCAGTAAGTAAAACCCTTCACTATTTAATGTTTTAATTCATTTTGACTCATTTTAATTCATTTAAATTGCCATGTACTGTCAGACCGAATGGAGTATTCATGCTCTATCCGATATCATATGAATAGAATACTGCTTGCACAGTGGGGACTTGCCTTTAATCTGTTCTAACCTCCTGCTGTGACAGTATGTTTTCACACTAGCCTATTTTTATCTCCCCCTTCTTGTGCTGGTGTTTTAATTATTTTATTGGCACGTTGTATCTGGTTTTTATTTTTTCCTTATTGTAGGCTGGTTTTTTAAACCAGAAGCCACTTTGGGGTCCCTTTGGCTAGAAAGCTGAAATTCTCTAAAATGTAAAACATCAAAATACACTATTAGGAAGGGAGAAGTGCTGAGTATAATACAGGGGACTGCATGTTTATTTGAAATCTTTATAAACCATATACTGCTCTTCAGCAAAGCTTCCAAGTGATTTACAAAATACTGTAATAAAAATATGCATATGGATTCCTAGAAGTGGAAGAAGGAGCAGTAAAAGATTGAAAAAGGAAAAATGGTAGACCAAAATGAATTAATCATAAAATCCATTGTGACATTACAGTAATTTGAAGGTTTGACTGTTGCTCTTCAGGCTCAGGTTGCTTGGTACCTTATCCAGGTTAAGATTTAAGTTGTAACGTAAACTTCAAATGGTACAGTCATGCATATGCATGCTCCTCATTGAAAAGAAAACTTCCAGATAGGGATATGAACCCTGGTTTGTGACATATTTTCCTTCATTGCAGTTATGGTGTGCTGAGAAATTGCAACAGATATATCAGATATAAATATGATATATTTATTTTATTTATTGCACTTATATACCACCCCAATAGCCCACAGGGCTCTCTGAGTGGTTTACAAACATTAAAACCCCACCAATCCTAAAATAAATTGGCTACACCACGACTGAGTATAAAATAACATGGTTAAAATGAATTAAATAAATATACCATTAAAATTAATTAACTTTAAAATATTGGTTAAATAAAAAGGTGAAGACTACTGAGAGTGCAGTCCCATACCTGCCTCTTTATAACTCAGCCCCGATTAATTCAACGGGACTTACTCTAAATTAAATGGTGAAAAGAATTGCAGTTGTCGTGTGTTTAATATAAGTAATATGACATTTTATTTTTAATAGGGAGCAACTGTGTCAGAAATTAAAAAGCAATATCGTTTGCTATCACTGAAATTCCATCCAGATAAAGGAGGTGATGAAGTTATGTTTATGAGGATTGCAAAGGCTTATGCAGCGTAAGTTTCTTAAGTTCTGTACATGAAAAGGGAATTTATTGTCAATCATACATAGATGCTAATATCTTGGTCTGTTTATGACACCAGCAACTGTTGTATACTGGTGTGTGCTGATGTACTGTGTCTTAGGAACAGACTGCTAAAAGTGCTTGTAAAGTATAATGCTGCTTTATCTTGTTTGTCAGGTTGTTATTCTATGAGCTTGTTTCTGATTACTGGATAAAGTCTTACACGCTTTAGGGCTGTAGCTTGGTGTGATAGAGCACATGCTTTGCATGCAAGAAGTCCCAAGTTCAGTCCTTAACATTTCCTGGTAGGGCTGGAAAAAACTCAGGCCTGAATCTCTGAAGAGGCATTACTAGTTAGTAAGACAGTCCAAACAATCAACCGACTTGTAGTTTGTTAACTGTGGGCTATTTGCAGGCAGGTAGGAGCTGCTTCCTTCTCACCTGCTTCTGTTTTCACTTGAACTGTCTTCATATAGTAGTGCCTGATTAGCATAATAACTTTTACCGGGCATATGTTGTGATGTCCAAAT